AGATCAAGCCCGTGTTCAGGCAGCGCTTGGTAGCCTGGGGGGTGCCCCTAGGAGGAAGCTGGAAATCACACGCCAATGCTGGTGTGTTTGCAGTTGGGCCACGGCCAGGTCGTTCAAGCAGCGATCAATCAAACACACCTAAGCTGCTCCCTCAGATTAGCCAGTGACCGTCAGCACAGCCCCTCACTTCCTTGAGATTGATTTATGGCAGCAATAGGATGATTATGCCACCTCAGAGGACACGCCTCCTCTCACCCAGGAACCCATAAATACCAAGGAAACACCACTTAGGTGCAGAGGAAGCCAGCACCATGGACATCTCCACTGTCCTCGCACTCAGTCTGTTATGGGGTCCAGCTCTATCTCAAGGTATACGTCTAATTGTATTCACGCCCTTCCCTCCTGCGAACCCAGCCGTGGCGAGTGATAGCTACTTGTTCCACCTCGAGGGTGATTCGTGGTTGGTATTCGTGGTGGCTGGCAAGTGTTTAGAAGGAACAGTGCTTTCTAATTTTGCTTTTGACTGAGAAGGACAGAGGGTTGTAGTTAGACCACACCAATCATTACGTATGATGAAGGAGAGGAAATGATTGCTTGGGCTTAGGAGAATCCTTGAGGTTCAGGGAAGAGGGATGCTTACTGATCAGAAGCCTCGACTTTGTCCTTGTTGGTTAAGTACATGCTTTGTGTGTTCTGGAAACTGGCAGAAGAGGCTCCCCTGCAAACGCCCGCCATGCGCCTTCCTCCTGCAGCCGTGTCTGGCTTGAGACCAGTATTTGCCGAGCGAATCAGGCCAAGTAACTGACACAGACAAGATGATCAGGATCCCAGACCCGTGGCTGTCACTGTTAGACCAGTGATTTGCAGTTGATCCCTCAGGCCTGGCTTTGTGTTCTCAGAGCGTCCGGTGGTGACGGGGGACAGAGCTGGTGGGGAGGCCTGGCGACTGTTGAGTCTCAGTGTCAGTTTACTGAGATTCTGTGTGAGCAGGACCATTTGCCTTTCTCTCTCTCTCTCTCTCTCTCTCTCTCTCTTTCTCTCTCTCTCTCCCTCCTTTCCTCTGTCTATTAGAGGGTACCAAACCATGCCCTGCTGTGGCTGTGTCTCCCCACAGCCTGACAACCCCTGGATTTCAGCTCCCCACATGTTCCTCCTGTTTTCTACCCTCGATTTTATTCTGTTTCCTGGGATAACCTGCACTTCCCCCTTCAGTAGTGCCGGGTCTGGCCGTGGTCCTGTCTCATGCTGTTCCCACTGCCTGGCAGTCTGGCTGTTGCCTGCCTCCAGCTGGCTAAATAGGGTTCCTCTTTCTAAATACTGTGGATCTCAACACAGCTACATACATGCAGACACACTCACACAGAGACACATCATAAAGACACACAATAGACAAACAGATGCATGTGTATGCACACACTTGTATACAATAAATCATACCTCTCACACAAAGACACACACACACTTGTATACAACAAATCATACCTCTCAGACACACAGAGGAGACACACATTCACACATCCAGACACTCACACAGACGCACACTCATCTACAACAAGTCATACCTCTCACACTCACACAGAAACAGGAGACACACAGACACACACATCCACACACTCATACACAACAGATCATACCTCTCTCACACAGACACACACAGAGGAGACACACTCACACATCCACACACTCACAGCTGTACCTGCCTCACACACACACACTCACACATCCACACACTCACAGCTGTACCTGCCTCACACACACACACTCACACATCCACACACTCACAGCTGTACTAGCCTCACACACACACACACTCACACATCCACACACTCACAGCTGTACTAGCCTCACACACACACACACATCCACACACTCACAGCTGTACCTGCCTCACACACACACACTCACACATCCACACACTCACAGCTGTACCTGCCTCACACACACACACTCACACATCCACACACTCACAGCTGTACCTGCCTCACACACACACACTCACACATCCACACACTCACAGCTGTACCTCCCTCACACACACACACTCACACATCCACACACTCATATACAACAGAACATACCTCTCTCTCACACACACACACACAGAGGAGACACACTCACACATCCACACACTCACAGCTGTACTAGCCTCACACACAGACACACACAGAGGAGACACACTCACACATTCGCACACTCACAGCTGTACCTCCCTCACACACACACAGACACACACTCACACATCCACACACTCACAGCTGTACCTGCCTCACACACAGACATACACTCACACATCCACACACTCACAGCTGTACCTCCCTCACACACACACAGACACACGGACACGCAGGGACAGGTGCACACCTGGACACACAGGCACACAGAGTGGCGCCACTCTCATCTCCCACGGCTGCTGGGCCAGCCCGGGCTTCTGGTGCTGAGCTCCCTGTGGGTGTTTCTAGGGTCCTGCTCCGCGAGCATCTCTGGAGGGAGAGACCACGCCTGGCTTAGCACCTTACACCGCTAAGAACTTAGCAGTTTGCTGGCTCTCAGTGCCCCTAGCTGGCAGCCAGGATGCTCCGGTGCCCAGCTCTGGCCTGGTGGGACAGAGGACGCGGCCGGGAGCCACCTTCATGTCATATCCTCCTGCCAGGTCCTGAGCAGTACTTGCACTTCCTTTTCTGGTGTATGGGGCATTGCGCTCTCTATCGGGGACTGGATTAACCATACAGGCACCATTGCTGCAGGTGGTCGTTCCTCCACTTCCGTAGGAATTGGCTCCAGGACCCCCCGGCGGATACCAACGTCCACGGACGTATAAAATGACATGGTGCGGCCGGCGCCGCGGCTCAATAGGCTAATCCTCCGCCTAGCGGCGCCGGCACACCGGGTTCTAATCCCGGTTGGGGCGCTGGATTCTGTCCCGGTTGCCCCTCTTCCAGGCCAGCTCTCTGCTGTGGCCAGGGAGTGCAGTGGAGGATGGCCCAGGTGCTTGGGCCCTGCACCCCATGGGAGACTAGGAAAAGTACCTGGCTCCTGGCTCCTGCCATCGGATCAGCGCGGTGCGCCGGCCGCAGCGCGCCGGCCGCGGCGGCCATTGGAGGGTGAACCAACGGCAAAGGAAGACCTTTCTCTCTGTCTCTCTCTCTCACTGTCCACTCTGCCTGTCAAAAAAAAAAAAAAAATGACATGGTGCACCCACATCCGCCTGTGTACTTGGAGCCGTCTCTAGATCGCATGTCTACACTGTGCTATATAATTCTACATAACTGACTTATACGACAAGGAGACAATCTGTGCATGTGTCACAGAGATGCCTCTTTTTCCTGAGTATTTTTGAGCTGCTCTCAGCTGAGTCCACGGAAGTGAAGCTGCAGGCGCACAGTGCTGACTGTGCTATGACTCCACCGCTTGGCTTTTTCTGACGCGTGAAAATGGAGGTGCGTTGTTTGAGCTTGAATCCTGGGAGGCAGCACAGCCCTGCTGAGAGGTCCGTGCTCTTGGCTCGGGTGTAGACGTTGCTCTGTGTGTTGTGGCTGCGCCTCTGCCTCCGAGTCAGCTGCTGGCTTCCCAGGACAGGAGGACACGGTCCCCAGGGTGCAGCACACGGCCCCCAGGGTGCAGCACACGGCCCCCAGGGTGCAGCTCACGGCCCCCAGGACAGGAGCACACGGCCCCCAGGGTGCTGCACACGGCCCCCAGGACAGGAGGACACGGCCCCCAGGGTGCAGCACACGGCCCCCAGGACAGGCGGACACGGCCCCCAGGGTGCAGCACACGGCCCCCAGGGTGCAGCACACGGCTCCCAGGGTGCAGCACACGGCCCCCAGGGTGCAGCACACGGCTCCCAGGACAGGAGGACACGGCCCCCAGGGTGCAGCACACGGCCCCCAGGGTGCAGCACACGGCTCCCAGGGTGCAGCACACGGCCCCCAGGACAGGAGGACACGGCCCCCAGGGTGCAGCACACGGCCCCCAGGGTGCAGCACACGGCTCCCAGGGTGCAGCACACGGCCCCCAGGACAGGAGCACACGGCCCCCAGGGTGCAGCACACGGCTCCCAGGACAGGAGGACACGGCCCCCAGGGTGCAGCACACGGCTCCCAGGGTGCAGCACACGGCTCCCAGGACAGGAGGACACGGCCCCCAGGGTGCAGCACACGGCTCCCAGGGTGCAGCACACGGCCCCCAGGACAGGCGGACACGGCCCCCAGGGTGCAGCACACGGCTCCCAGGGTGCAGCACACGGCCCCCAGGGTGCAGCACACGGCTCCCAGGGTGCAGCACACGGCCCCCAGGGTGCAGCACACCGTCTCTGATCGCCTTCTTTTTGCAGCTACTGCTAGCACAGAGCAGTCCACACCTGGTAAGTATTTTGAAACCAGTATCTTGTATGACTGAGTTTTTCACCCTCTACAGTCACTTATAGCTTGAGAATACATGCTGCCTCGTGGCACTTGAATGAATGCATGAGGGCCGCAGGAAGTAGTTTGTCTTCTTCCGGCGGTGGTATAAATGGACAACGTGGCTCCACAGTCACGCTGCACGGCGGTTTTATTTTGCCTCTGCCTCAAGCTCCAGAGCATGTCAGAAGCAGAGCGCTTGCCTGAACGCAGACCCTGGGGTCCGCCTCCCTCGCCCGCTCTCAAGAACCCCTTTGGAGGGCAGAGCTCAGGAATCTACAGTTTTCGCAAACCCACTTGAGGATGAGAAATCCAGCAACACTTAGGGTTGGCAGTGTCATTAAAGGAGCACCACTGTGCTAAGAATGTAAAGACAGGAGATACGCACCTATATTTTACATGCTATCTGTTTTTCTTTATTTTGTTAAGATTATTGAGCACTTCGTATGCTACCCAGTTACTGCAGTCTGCCAGCTCCGTTTTGGCAAGCCCACTGGAGGCATCAGGCCAAGACTGAACCTCAGCGCCCTCTGGCGTGATTGTGAGGTTCTGCAACCTGTAGATTGTCTCTTTTCTAAGATGAGTCTGATTTCTTTCTAGGTCAGTGGATCCCATATACCACCTACCATGGTAAGACCCTCTCATTCTCTACTCCTCTTCCAGGGCTTGTCTCTGGCTGGCCCGGCCAGTTCAGGTACAGTTGGCTAGTTGAGACAGTACAGCCTTGGCCTTAGAGCAAATGCCTGCTTTTTGGAATGTAGGGATGGAGCGGGGTTGAGAGATGTGGGTGCCCAGATCCTGGGCATGTCCCAGGTGCACACTCAGCCAATCCTGTCTCTCATTCTTCCTTCTCTCTGCGTCCCAGTCACTCTTGAGATGAAATTAGCTTCAACTTGGTGTCAGGAGAGATAATTTAAAAAATCAGTACTTTTTTTTCTCACTAAAAATAGCAGTTATTGAGAAGGTGACTAGCATCTACAATTACCTGCTAAATATCCCGCACAAAATTATTTTCATACATTAAATGAATTAATACAAAAGAACATTTAAAGCACTGGCACATAATAAATGCTCAACTAGAACATAATACATCCTATTACCATGAAATCTTCCCAACACTGCTCTGAGGTAAGTATTTTTACGCCCATTTTGCAGATAGGAAAGCTAGGGCATAGTTAGGTAATTTGTCAATGCTTCTGTGTCTAGGTCATGTGGCTGGTGGCAGGGAAGAGATTTGAACCCAGGAGAAGGGCCTTTCCCCCACCTATGACTAAACGAGCCCATCTCCCCACTGTGTGCAGTGAGAGTGTGCAGACTTCCCAAGTTTGATATGTCAGGGACATCTGCACGTTCACTCAGGGCAACAACTCTGCCACTGCAGCCTGGCTGGGGTGGAGGCCAGGCCCTCCCCTTCCAGGACAATGGCTGGGAAAGACCCGAGGGGCAGATTTCTGACTGGCACCCAGGGGAGATAGGCTGAGGCAAGGGATGCAGTTCTAGGAGGGACCAGCAGGGGGCAGTAAGGAGGCCCAGAATACACCTTTGGAAGACCCTGATTTTGGCCTTTCCTCCCTCTTTTCTTGGCCCGTCCCCCATCCCTGGACCAATAGCAACCACCTGTCTCCTTACCCCCATCCCAGTCCAACCTCTCACTCTCTGACACAGATTTCTTGTAACCTCAAGATAGCCACAGCCAGCATCGGGACCCCTTCAGCCCTGCAGCCTGCTTTTCTCACGTAGTCAGTGCAGTGGGTGACTTAGGGGCACCATGTCGGGCGGCGACATGGTGCCATTGGCCTGCCCGCTGTGGCCGTCTCTACAGCGGGCATCCTTTCATGGGAGAGGAGGCTGACAGGGCAGGGTGAGGCCTGCCCTTGGGACAGCACTATCTTGGACTTGATCCTCATGGGAGTTGGGGTACTTTGAACGGGGAAGTGACTGGAATACAGCTGTGCTTAGTAAAGATAAAACCTGGAGGCCGTTGGATAGAGAGGTGCATCCTATTAGCACAGGAATGGGCATGGAGCAGGCACCCCTGAAGCACTGAGTCACTGAATCTGGGTGATTAGAGAAAGCAGGGGCAGAGGTCAACCACCTGGGTGACCCCCGGAGAAGGCCAGGTTCAAGAGAGTGGAGGTCAGACCGGGTGAAATGGCAGTGAGAGTAAGAGGCAGTAGTGAGCCCCGAGACAGATACAGAGGTGAGAAGGAGCCATCAACTGTGACCCCCAGATTTCCACCATGGTTGAGAGGTCTTTGCTGACACCCAGGGAGCCATGGAAGCATTGGTCTGGAACTCGGGGCTGGGCCAGGACCGGAGAGGTGGATCCAGGGGTCCTCTGTCTGCAGAGTTCTCCGAGTATGTGAGGTTCTCCAGGGGGCAAAGGCCAAGTGAGAAGGGGGCAAAGACAACGAGTGGTACGTTAGGTCCTGAAGGAGGGAGAGACCTGTGTGGGTGGCCAAGGCAGGGGAGAGGGTGGTGCGGGGTGGGGCAAGCCAGGGGGATCGCGAAGCCGAGGACTTCCCGCTGTGTCAATGCAGGTTTGCCCGTGAGACTGGTGGATGGAGGTGACCGGTGTCAGGGCCGGGTGGAGGTCCTGTACCAAGGCTACTGGGGCACCGTGTGTGACGACAGCTGGGACACCCAGGATGCAGATGTTGTCTGTCGGCAGCTTGGCTGTGGCCGTTCCGTGTCTGCCCTGGGCGGGGCTCACTTCGGTCAGGGCTCGGGGAACGTTCTCTTGGGCGCTGTGTACTGCTCAGGATGGGAGCCTGATCTGTCGAGCTGTCCTCATGACGGGTGGTACAACCACGAGTGTGGCCACAGGGAAGACGCCGGAGTCGTGTGCTCAGGTAGTGCGAGTGTCACTCTGCTGTCACCTGCGCGACTCCAGGGACAGGTGCTGACTGGGTCGATACCGTGAGGTGTGTGTGTGTTTGTGCCTGTGTGTGCATGTGTGTGTGCACACACATGTTTGCAGTCCACACACTGCGCTGTGAACCATGCAGCAGTCCCTGGCCTTTTTCACACACACAAACATCCAGGCCCAGAGGCACTAAGGGATCTGCCTGTTGTCCTAGCACTGGGAAGTGCTGGGCTCAGGTTTCAATCATGGTCCCTTTGCAGGTGGCCAACACCATTGCTCAGTGGCCTGGCTCTGGCGAGCAGCATGGTGACCGTCCCTGGCCTGGGATGTCTAAGTAAATATCCTCTAAGTGGCAGGAGGATGGGGAACTCAGGTCTTTAATACTTAAATATGCACCAAGATCCAATCAAAGGTGACCAGTATGTCCTCTGAATCACACTAAATGACAGGCAAAAGACACAACCTCAGTGGGAAGAGGAAATTGTCCCTACCTCAACCCAGGCTGCATCCAACCCCAAAGCTGTATTTCTTATCTTCTCACTTGGTGCTGGTAGGTGTTCAAACACCAACAAGACCTTTAATCCACAAAGAATCCTCCAAGGACCCCAGCAGGTACCCCAAAGAGGAGCTTCTGGGTAAACAGTCCACTTTTAGGTACCCCCTAGCATGTGCAGTGAGCTGTGGACTGGCCTCTGTAATCCCACGTGCAGCACGTGGCCATGGTATTCCAGCCACCACTTGGGAACGGGTGCCTCCAGGGAGTTGCCTCTGAGCGGTTTTACTCTGGCATTCTGAAATGCCTCTTCGGAAACTTGGGGCCACCTTCTCAGGAATAGCTCAGTGCTGGCCAGTGTTTGCCACGTGGGGCTGTATGTGCGCTCTAGAAGCAGGCGGGTGTGACTGGGAGTCTGACTGTGGCTTGGATGGGGCTGTTTGCGGACCAGGTTTTAGGTGGAGACCATGGCAGCAGAGGAGGTAGAGGATGGTGGCAGGCAGAGGATGCTCGTGGCAGTTTACAGTGCTGAAGAGGGGCTGGCAGAACCACAGGCATGGCACTGGGCTTCACAAGGAAAAGCCGCAGCCTTTCCGCCATGGGCAGGGCCTTCAGGGTCTCTGGTCTGGCCCTTGTTTGCTTCAGAGCTGGGGAAGCAAGGCCCCTCCCCTTCAAATGAGGGCTGACATCTAACCATTCCATTCTGCAGATTCCGTGTCTTCCCCAGGGGCACCTGTGGAGACGACGACGACAGAAGGTAATGTCTGCCACGAGGAACCCCTGCGGGCTCCCTCCCCTGCTGCATCCATGCGTTCATGTCTGATCCAGAGCGGGGCAGAGCACACACAGCTCAGCTCCCAAGGAGGACCCTTATGAATTAAGCCTCTGCCCTGAGCAGGAGTCCTGTCCACGGGTCGTGCCCCTGAGGTGGGGATGGACCAACCTGAAGATGCTCCAAGGGGGAGCCCCGTGGCCTGGTGCTAGGGGTTCTGTAGCTCATGCCGTGTCCCCCAGGCCTCACCCATCAGGCCTCTGGCTGCAGGCCTTGGAGAGGCAGGAGCACCCTGCCGCACCCTTGCCGTGCCCTTTCCCTTAGCCCGTTTCAGTCTACCTCGGCTCATTCTCAACCTGCAGCTGCCGTGATCCTTCAGCTGTGGACGTCAGAAGTCCTCTTCCCCCCGACCTGCCACGGTGGACACCCCAGTGACAGATTCAGAAAGCAAAGGCAATGCAGCCTGGGATTCTGGAAGCCTGGGCTTTGGGAATAGATGTAATTTCCCATTTCTGATGGGAAGCATTGGCCTGAGGACAAGATCAAGAACCACCTCCGCCAAGGTCCCTGGCCTGCCGTGGCCTGCCGTGGCATGGACTGGTTGGGAGGCCTGCTGGTCTTTTGCTGATCCACGCATCAGGCATTTCTGTTCCCGAGGCCCACGAGATGACCTGTGATCTTACCTTCTTTCTTGTCCCTGAAGTAAGGACCCAGATGTCGCTGGAGCTGAGGGCGAAACTGGCTCTATTCTAATTTAGCTGCGTCCCTACCCACAATGCCCGCCTTTTCTTCTTTGCAGCAGTTGCAAGAGGAAAAGCTGTTCATTCCTCTGCGGCGGTTTCTCCTTCGGTCTCTGTGCACAGTAGACAGAGAGCAGGGCCTCAGGGGCCCAGCCAGGGATGGAGGCAAGGGGCAGAGGGGTTCAGGTGACGTGCGTGTGACAAGACTGCAGCCAGGACTTACCTAGAGCTGCTCCTGTTGGGACGTGCGGTGTGGGAAGGGGCCACGCTGCTACACAATCTGGAGACTTCCAGGGTAAGCCCAACAGTGGCAGAGTCCTCTGCCCCTGACTGCAGTGGCTTACGAGTAGCGCTTAGATGACCTCCTCCCTAAGCCCTGGCACCCAGTTAATTCTTGTAGGTGTCCAAATAAGTGTCAGTGCTCATTGGAGCAACTTGAAAGGATAGATTTACACCTAGTATCTTACTTAAAAGGGAAACATTAGAAGAATTTTCACTAAAGTCACAAACAAGGCAAGTATGCCCTCCAACCCCAGTGCTATTCAGTACTGTGCTGGAGGTACAAGCCAGTGCAATAGCATAAGGGAAATCAGGTAGAGACTTAAGATGGACATATGTCAGCGTTCCTCCTAGGACGTCCTGGGGTCATCAGGCTTCTCTTCTCAAGAGGTGTCCTGTCTCTTGGGGTGGGTCTCAAGATTCTGTCCAGAAAAAGGTCTGGATACAAAAGCACACAGACGGTCCTAGGCGCCTCCAGGATTTCACTGGGAAGAGGAATTGCTGTCACCTGGAGCTCTAGAAACTCAGGTTCTGGCAGAGCAGTCATTGTCCTTTTCCTCATGAAGAATTCGCGGCCTGGTAGAGCTCAGGCCACTTAGAGATCCTTGTTTACCGACGATCTCTGAATCTCCTACCAGCCCCGAGACCTTGACCCTTAGTGGGAAGATGCAAAAATAATCTGCACCTTGAATCCAGCGTCAGGTTAGCAGCAGCTAACCTGGTGACCAGTCATTATGCTACCACCACCCTCACTGACTCAAAGCCCGACGTAATGCTTGTTAAAGTGTCAGAGTCTGGACAATGGTGTGCCAGGGTCATTGACTAAGAACGGAGCACGTGAACAGGCCAAGGTGTTTTGCTAGAGCAGAGAATATTACAGCTGGTGAGAACAGGAGGGGCCGGGGATGTCCAGCAGGGCCTTGTCCCATGGCTGAGCTGGAGCAGGAGCCCTGAGCAGACACAGGGAGCAAGGGGCCGGGCCTGGAGTGGAACCACGGTTGTGACAGCTGCCTGGTCCAGGGAACATTTTGCTCTTGGCCCTTTTCCTTCAGGTGTAACTTTTGCTTGTCCTTGTTGCCCTTCACAGACACGTGGCCGACCACGGTCATCCATGAGTCCACCCCAGGTGAGTGTCCCCTCACCGTCCTTGGGGCTCACGGCCTGACTCTGAATGGACGCTGCGTCGCTGATGAGAGGAGGAGGCTGCCCGTGTGCTGGGCCTCATTCTTGTCCCAGGGCGATGGTTGAGGGGGAGGGCAGAGTGTTTGAGGACAGGTCCTTGAGGCCGGGACCCGTGTCCAGCGGTATCCAGTCCAGGGGCTGAGGCACAGTCCCTCTGCACATATTCGGGGTGTGTGCTGGAGGCCCTGAGATGCCAGGTGACCTTGTGCTTGTCCCTGAGGCCTCATAAGAGTGGGTAAAAAGGCCTTATGTACATAGTTGACCAAGGCCTGCCATCCACACACATTACCAGACTCAGACCCTACCATGCACATGCCCTCAAGCTCCTGAACACGGGCAGAGCCTGAGGCCGTCACGTCTCTGCAGAGCTCCGTGCTGTGTGTGCCCAGAGGTGGGAATGCACAGTGGTTCCTGTCATAGCACTGAGACCCTGGGTGCTTCCAACACTGGAGCACCCGCAGACATGGAAGTGTACAGTGTCCCTGCCCGTAGTCCTGTGATGAATGAAATTCTGGGCATAGTCAAGGGCGTACTCAGCTAAGAGGCCTTTGCCGTTGGAATCCTGAGTGTGGAACGCACCTTAGATCCCTCACCTGCAGACATGGTGACGTCATGTCCTGTGTTCATCTGTAGTTTTCCCATCTGGATTGGAACTGCGACTGGCGAATGGAGGTGACCGCTGCCAGGGCCGGGTGGAGGTCCTGTACCAGGGATCCTGGGGCACCGTGTGTGACGACGGCTGGGACATCAATGACGCCCAGGTGGTGTGCAGGCAGCTGGGCTGTGGCATGGCTGTGTCGGCCCCAGGAAGTGCGCGGTTTGGTCAGGGCCCTGGCCAGATTGTCCTGGACGATGTGAGCTGCTCCGGGCAGGAGGCGTACCTGTGGAGCTGCCACCACCGCGGCTGGCTCTCCCACAACTGTGGGCACCAGGAGGACGCGGGAGTCATCTGCTCAGGTGGGTGCCCAGATCCCCAGAGCTATGCTTGGACTGGGGCCCCTGGCGTATCTCTAGGAGTCCACAGGAAGCCTCGGAATGTCCCCATGTTAGGCTGTGGAGTCGGGGTCTTCATCAGCTTTTTAAAAGCTGGGGGCGTCTGTGTGCCCTGCCCTGGGTGACTCTGCAAAGGTGATGACATCACCCTGGTGGAGACGGAGCCTCAGGAGGCAGAGGTGCAGGCCATGGCAGTGGGCTGCAGGGCAGAGTTCCTGAGATGAAGGGTGTGGGCGTGAGGACCGCCCGTTCTGTATGTGCCTTCACCAGGACTTGGGGCCTGTGTTGCCAGGTGACCGCTGTGTGCTTTGTGTCTAATCTTCTTCTCTTTGTCACAGGTGCCATGGACACGACCACACCCCTACCAGGTGAGTCCCCCTGTTGTTATTGGCAAAGGCCCTGTTCTTTCGACTCAGATGCAGCAGGGCCACAGTTGCACCCAGGAGTGGCATTCAGTGCCAGGGGATGAGGTGGGTGCAGGCAGAAGGATCTGAGGCTCCCGCTGACCAGTCAGTCCGATGCTACCCTCGCCTTCACTGTCTCACTGCCCTGCCTGATTCTCATGTTCAGTGCATCAATTCTGGACAACGGTGTCCCATGAGCCACTCAGTACCGAAGGAGCAGATGGAGGCTGGCGCCACGGCTAAATAGGTTAATCCTCCGCCTGTGGCGTCGGTACACTAGGTTCTGGTCCCGGTCAGGACACCGGATTCCTTTCCGGTTGTCCCTCTTCCAGGCCAGCTCTCTGTTGTGGCCCGGTAGTGTAATGGAGGATGGCCCAGGTCCTTGGGCCCTGCACACACATGGGAGACCAGGAGAAGCACCTGTCTCCTGGCTTCAGATCAGCGCAGTGGGCCAGCTGCAGCGCACCGGCCGCAGCGAAACAGAAGACCTTTCTCTCTATCTCTCTTACTGTCCACTGTGCCTGTCAAAAAATAAATAAATAAATAAATAAATAAATAAATAAATAAAAATAACAAAGAAGGAGAGAAGTAGCAGGCCAAGGTGTTTTGCCTGAGCAGAGATATTGCGGGTGGCAAGACCTGGGGGGGCCAGAGATGTCCAGCAGGGCCTTGTCCCATGGCTGAGCTGGAGCAGGAGCCCTGAGCAGACACAGGGAGCAAGGGGCCGGGCCTGGAGTGGAACCAGGGTTGTGACAGCTGCCTGGTCCAGGGAACATTTTGCTCTTGGCCCTTTTCCTTCAGGTGTAACTTTTGCTTGTCCTTGTTGCCCTTCACAGACACGTGGCCGACCACGGTCATCTATGAGTCCACCCCAGGTGAGTGTCCCCTCACCGTCCTTGGGGCTCACGGCCTGGCTCTGAATGGACGCTGCGTCGCTGATGAGAGGAGGAGGCTGCCCGTGTGCTGGGCCTCATTCTTGTCCCTGGGCGTCGGTTGAGGGGGAGGGCAGAGTGTTTGAGGACAGGTCCTTGAGGCCGGGACCCGTGTCCAGCGGGATCCAGTCCAGGGGCTGAGGCACGGTCCCTCTGCACATATTCGGGGTGTGTGCTGGAGGCCCTGAGATACCAGGTGACCTTGTGCTTGTCTCTGAGCCCATGGACGTCAGACCTGACAGGAGCAGGTACCAGGCCTGATGTGCAGAGTCTGACCGAGGTCCAGTCATGCACAGACATGGCCAGACCCCGAGAGTTCCATACAGAAGTCACCAAGCGCTCGTGCTCGGGCGAGGTCTGGTGCAATAATTTCTCTGCGCAGAGCTGTGTCCCGAGTGTACCCAGAGTTTGGAGCAGAGTGCTCATTCCGGTCCCTTCCACTAAAACCCTGGCTGCTTCCAACACCAGAGGCTGCTAACCTGGAAGTGCATGGTGTCCACTGCCCGTAGTCCTGTGATGAATGAAATTCTGGGCATAGTCAAGGGCGTACTCAGCTAAGAGGCCTTTGCCGTTGGAATCCTGAGTGTGGAACGCACCTTAGATCCCTCACCTGCAGACATGGTGACGTCATGTCCTGTGTTCATCTGTAGTTTTCCCATCTGGATTGGAACTGCGACTGGCGAATGGAGGTGACCGCTGCCAGGGCCGGGTGGAGGTCCTGTACCAGGGATCCTGGGGCACCGTGTGTGACGACGGCTGGGACGTCAATGACGCCCAGGTGGTGTGCAGGCAGCTGGGCTGTGGCATGGCTGTGTCGGCCCCAGGAAGTGCGCGGTTTGGTCAGGGCCCTGGCCAGATTGTCCTGGACGATGTGAGCTGCTCCGGGCAGGAGCTGTACCTGTGGAGCTGCCACCACCGCGGCTGGCTCTCGCACAACTGTGGGCACCAGGAGGACGCGGGAGTCATCTGCTCAGGTGGGTGCCCAGATCCCCAGAGCTATGCTTGGACTGGGGCCCCTGGCGTATCTCTAGGAGTCCACAGGAAGCCTCGGAATGTCCCCATGTTAGGCTGTGGAGTCGGGGTCTTCATCAGCTTTTTAAAAGCTGGGGGCGTCTGTGTGCCCTGCCCTGGGTGACTCTGCAAAGGTGATGACATCACCCTGGTGGAGACGGAGCCTCAGGAGGCAGAGGTGCAGGCATGGCAGTGGGCTGCAGGGCAGAGTTCCTGAGATGAAGGGTGTGGGCGTGAGGACCGCCCGTTCTGTGTGTGCCTTCATCAGGACTTGGGGCCTGTGTTGCCAGGTGACCGCTGTGTGCTTTGTGTCTGATCTTCTTCTCTTTGTCACAGATTCCATGGCCATGGCCACACCCCTACCAGGTGAGTCCCCCTGTTGTTATTGGCAAAGGCCCTGTTCTTTCGACTCAGATGCAGCAGGGCCACAGTTGCACCCAGGAGTGGCATTCAGTGCCAGGGGATGAGGTGGGTGCAGGCAGAAGGATCTGAGGCTCCCGCTGACCAGTCAGTCCGATGCTACCCTCGCCTTCACTGTCTCACTGCCCTGCCTGATTCTCATGTTCAGTGCATCAGTTCTGGACAACGGTGTCCCATGAGCCACTCAGTACCGAAGGAGCAGATGGAGGCTGGCGCCGCGGCTAAATAGGTTAATCCTCCGCCTGTGGCGCCGGTACACTAGGTTCTAGTCCCTGTCAGGGCGCCGGATTTGTCCCGTTTGTCCCTCTTCCAGGCCAGCTCTCTGTTGTGGCCCGGTAGTGTAATGGAGGATGGCCCAGGTCCTTGGGCCCTGCACACACATGGGAGACCAGGAGAAGCACCTGTCTCCTGGCTTCAGATCAGCGCAGTGGGCCAGCTGCAGCGCACCGGCCGCAGCGATCATTGGGGGGTGAACTAGCGGAAACAGAAGACCTTTCTCTCTATCTCTCTTACTGTCCACTGTGCCTGTCAAAAATAAATAAATAAATAAATAAATAAATAAATAAGAAGGAGCAGATGGAGCAGGCCAAGGTGTTTTGCCTGAGCAGAGATATTGCAGGTGGCAAGACCTGGGGGGGCCAGAGATGTCCAGCAGGGCCTTGTCCCATGGCTGAGCTGGAGCAGGAGCCCTGAGCAGACACAGGGAGCAAGGGGCCGGGCCTGGAGTGGAACCAGGGTTGTGACAGCTGCCTGGTCCAGGGAACATTTTGCTCTTGGCCCTTTTCCTTCAGGTGTAACTTTTGCTTGTCCTTGTTGCCCTTCACAGACACGTGGCCGACCACGGTCATCTATGAGTCCACCCCAGGTGAGTGTCCCCTCACCGTCCCGGGGGCTCACGGCCTGGCTCTGAATGGACGCTGCGTCGCTGATGAGAGGAGGAGGCTGCCCGTGTGCTGGGCCTCATTCTTGTCCCTGGGCGTCGGTTGAGGGGGAGGGCAGAGTGTTTGAGGACAGGTCCTTGAGGCCGGGACCCGTGTCCTGTGGGATATGGTCCAGGGTTGAGGCACGGTCCCTCTGCACATATTCGGGATGTGTGCTGGAGGCCCTGAGATGCCAGGTGACCTTGTATTTGTCTCTGAGGCCATGGACATCAGACCTGACAGGAGCAGGTACCAGGCCTGATGTGCAGAGTCTGACCGAGGTCCAGTCATGCACAGACATGGCCAGACCCCGAGAGTTCCATACAGAAGTCGCCAAGCGCTCGTGCTGGGGGAGGTCTGGTGCCATAATTTCTCTGCGCAGAGCTGTGTCCCGAGTGTACCCAGAGTTTGGAGCAGAGTGCTCATTCCGGTCCCTTCCACTAAAACCCTGGCTGCTTCCAACACCAGAGGCTGCTAACCTGGAAGTGCATGGTGTCCACTGCCCGTAGTCCTGTGATGAATGAAATTCTGGGCATAGTCAAGGGCGTACTCAGCTAAGAGGCCTTTGCCGTTGGAATCTCCTGAGTGTGGAACGCACCTTAGATCCCTCACCTGCAGACATGGTGACGTCATGTCCTGTGTTCCCCTGTAGATTTCCCATCTGATTGGAACTGTGACTTGTGAACAGAGGTGACCGTTGCCAGGGCCGGGTGGAGGTCCTGTACCAGGGATCCAAGGGCACCATGTATACCTGTTCCTGTTAGCTTACACTGATAAATTTCAGTCTGTGGGTAAATTTGATGGCGACACAGGCGCAAGTGCCTTGGATATTTTTAGTCCTCTGAGTGGGAGACATGATGTGGATCCCTACTTTCAATTTGTGGATGGATGACCTGTCCTTTGCTTTCCTCTAGTGCACATATCCGGTTTGCAGCTAAGACTGGTGAATGGAAGTGACCGGTGTGAGGGCCGGGTGGAGGTCCTGTACCAGGGTTCCTGGGGTACCGTGTGTGACGACAGCTGGGACCTCAACGATGCCAGCGTGGTCTGCAGGCAGCTGGGCTGTGGTACGGCCCTGTCTGCCCCAGCCAGTGCCCAGTTCGGTCAAGGCTCGGGGTCGATTGTCCTGGATGACGTGAGCTGCTCAGGCAGCGAGCCCAACCTGTGGAGCTGTTCCCACCGCGGCTGGCTCTCCCACAACTGTGGACACCACGAGGACGCGGGAGTCGTCTGCTCAGGTGGGTCCCCTCATCCCATGGCTTCTTTCCTGGATGGACAAAGCTTTGTCCTGGCCCCGGCATCAGTTCCAGACTGTGCTTGGAAGTGGGGAAGCTACTTCTGCCTTTCATCACACACGTGGTGGCTTTGGGATTTGTGTAGTATAGCTCGCCAACTGGGATCCACAACCGGAATCACGCTCCATGGAATCTCCGGGCCGTGGCATTGCCTTCAGGCTCTAGGTGCGGCTGCCACGCAGTCCCTCCCTAGGGAGGGCAGAGATGCTCTGGCACATCGGCTGCGCCTGCGGATTCGTCGCCAGCCCCCACTCTGATGGCTGCTCTGCAGCTCGCCCTGTCCAGTGCCTGCTCTCCCCGCCTCGTCCGGTCCTGGCCCCCGGGCCCTGCTGAGTCCTTCTCTTGGGGAAATCGCACTTTCTCCTGCAGACACGGCATAGCCCTGGTCTTAGCCGAGTTTTCCTGGTGGTTCTGGAACGACACTGGCTCCAGTTCATTGCCACCTCTGCTCAGTTGGACTAGATGATAATTTAGCTGAAAGATCTGCTTAGCCCCTTCTGTGGGCAGACGGGACCCCCGCAGACACTCAGAGCAGCCGAGGTGGAAGGCGGGTCTGTTCCTGGTTCCGCTCATCTCGGTGCATGGTGGGGAGGTCCTCGTGTGGGAGAAGGGGAATCCTCATAAGGTTCGATGTGGGCATGGATGCAGGAGGCCAAGGATGGTCTTCTAAGGAGAGTCAAGCGGTGCCAGACGTTGTGTCCGTGGGACTTCCCACACTAGCAGAGCATGGGCACGTGCAGCAGGTCTGGGCTGCTGACCATTCTGCTGCCAGCTCTATGCTCTGTGCACCTTGTGTCCTGCCCTGGGTGGTGCTTTATGTCACCTTCAGTCATCTCTGAGAGGGCGCTGTGACGTCTCAGCAGGCCCTGGTGTCCAGGCCCAGCAGCAGAGCCCACCTCTGGCAGATCTTTTGTGACCTGGTTATTGTCCCAAGAGGTCACACCCATAGTCTATATGGACAGCAGCGTTTATCTGTGCTGTCGCTCAGCCTGGCTATGTGTGCTTGCAGTGTGCACATGATGCCTGGCTGCACGTGGCCTCGATCTGTGTTCTGCTCCTCCCCAAACCTAGTCCAGGATGCTGGCGTCATGGTAGAGACAGAGTGGTGCTCCTGTGGCGCAGGGTGCTGGTGGGGGTCGGTTACTGCACCTGTTCTTCCAGCTCTCAGTAAACGTGGTCAGCCCGGTTGGCTCCCTGACCCTGCTGAGGTTTTGATACCAAGCCTCAGTGTCCACCTTGGTGTCCAAGGCAGCCTTCCATAAATGGTCAGAGTGTGGAGGGAAAAGCCTGTTGTAATAAACATTCCAGACAGAGGGACGAGGAGGATCCAATGTGGCGTCCAGCAGGGTCTGTCCCCGGAATGAACTTGTGAGGAGAGCGCAGTGACAGCGAGGGCAGGAGGCTGCCTCCATGCTCCTGGGTCACAACACTGCGAGGGGCCTTCTTTGTTGGTGTGTGGACTGGGCGACCCACAAGCTACAGTGTCTTGACTTGCACACAGGAAGAAGGATTCAGACGTCAATCATTTTGTGTCCTCTAGGACCGGATTCGCGTTTGGCTGTGAGACTGGTGAATGGAAGTACCCGGTGCCAGGGCCGGGTGGAGGTCCTGTACCGGGGCTCCTGGGGCACCGTGTGTGATGACAGCTGGGACATCAACGACGCCAGCGTGGTCTGCAGGCAGCTGGGCTGTGGCTGGGCTGTGTCAGCCCCAGGAAGTGCCCGCTTCGGGCAGGGTTCGGGATCCATTTTCTTGGATGAAGTGTCCTGCTCAGGCCAAGAGCCGTACCTGTGGAACTGCTCACACCGTGGCTGGCTCTCCCACAACTGTGGGCACTATGAGGACGCAGGAGTCATCTGCTCAGGTGGGCGCCCAGTCCCTGGCTCCCTCCCGGGAAATGCGCTGTGACAACGACTTAAACCTGGAGTCAGGGCTGTGTCTGCTGCCCTGAGACAGGACCGTGTGCCGAGGGAGAGGCTTCTCAGGGCAGCCGTGCCAGCACCTCTTGGTTTCTGGAGGATCTGGGGTTTCCTCCGTCAACAGGCTGCAGAGTGCAGTGTCAGGCTCCATGTAGGAAGCACGGCACAGTCGGTCCGTGTCCAGTCCACCTGCTGAGGGCGGCATTGGCTTGCAGCTGACTTGGCCAGCAGTGTTGGGCTCAGTCTCCATCCTCCTGGGGGCAGAAGCTCAGAGGCCTTCCATTTTCCCTGATCCCCACCCGCAGTGGTCCCGGGCGTCCTGGTCATGGTCAGACACTTGCAGAGTGGTGGCTGTTCAAGCCACTCCTCTCCTGGGTGACTGCGACCCTCCCTGGGTGCTGCGGGCAGCCTCCACTTGGAACAGATTCCTGGGCAGTGGTCTCTTAGGATTCCGGAGAGCTGAGGCTGGGAAGGGAGGATGGGCATAGGACTGGCAGGGAGGAGAAAGTGGCTTGTTAGGAGCCTGACTGGACCTTGGTGATGGGGCCTCCTGGCCGAGGCTATATGTAGGGAGCACATAGAGCCTCATAATAGTACTCCCAGGGATCGGGGAGTTGTGGTCCTCATCAGCTCAGTGCTTGGGGTGGCCGTGTACAGGTCTGCTGGGTGTGACTGCCCAGGCCTCTGTGGCCTGTCCTGGGCCTGTGGAGATGTTACCCTGTTGGAGAGGTGACCTCGGCCAGAGGATCAGCCATGGCAGAGGGATGCAGGGTGGAGCTTGCTGGCGGTTGAAGAGTTCAGGTGGACAGTGGCAGTGTGCGCACAGTGGGGCAGGGGGACCATCAGCTCAGGGGGTCAATTTGCTGAGACTCCTGGCCCGGGCATCCTGGGGGCTTCTGTGCTCGGTGTGCCCCTCCCTCTGCAGTCACAGATCCCCGGCCCGTGCCCAGCTTGTCAGTGCTTGTCCGTGTGCTTGTCTGCTGTGTCCCCGCCCGTCTTCCCCACTGGCACCACCTCCTCCATCTTGGCTGACACTGCGGGGTTTGTTACTTTCCCTCGCTCTGAAGCCTGGGACTCCCACAAGTGCTTGACCGGACATGAGGATTCCCACGGTGCCCGTGCTGTCATCTCTCCATCCGGACTGTCACCATCTTAGAGTGACGCTCTCTACTTGACACTCTTGCAGGTTTAGCATGGTGGTCTTGTTGTCAATGATCTCTGATCTTTTTCCTTCTTGTGCTCCCTCTTCTTTTATGACCTTGATGTTGCCATCCGCCAATCTGTTTTTGAGGATCAGAGTTTTCTAGGGAGACCCATGCTGTCCTCATTGAGACACCCCAGTTTCTGTAGGTGATATGTCTATTCAGAGGGGAATAAGTAGTGCACATGGAATACGGCGGATATGAATATACCTGGTATTTTTAGTTTTCGATAAACCCAGTTCTGTCCTGGGAGACACCTTGCTTCTCATCCCATGTCAGCTCCCAGTTGCTGAATCTGGGCTGTGGTGCCAACCAACAGCCAGTGGATGGGTCAGATGCTGGGGGACAGTGTGTTTGTAGATTTTCGTTATTAGGGTTTGATTATTTGAAAGCAGAGTGATAGAGTGTGTGTGTTTGTATGTGTGAGAGAGAGAGAGAGAAAGAGAGAGAGATTTTCCATTCACTGCTTTCCTTCCAAATGACTGTAGTAGCTGAGAATGCACCAGGCCAAAGCCGTAAGTCAAGGACACCGTCCTAGTCTCCCTCGTGGGAGGCAGCATCTCCCGTTATACACTGCTTCCCGGCTGCGTTTGCAGAAACTTGGATAAGCAGCAGAGTACCTGAAACCTGAACTGAAACTCCTATAATGAGTTGCAGAAGTCCCAGCTGGCACCTCGACCTGGTGCACCACAACGCCCACCCCTGTTTCCTGCCCCGAACATTGCAGATGAGGAGAGATGTTGGGGAGTGTGTGTTTCAGTGGGGCCTTTGCCCCTGGTGAGCTCACGAGCAGGAGCCTTGGGTAGGCTCTGGGCAGCAAGGGGCAATTCCAGAGAGGAATGGCGATCACGGTGCCTGCTGGGCCAAGAGAACCTTTCCTTCCTGCCGGTTTCCCCTCAAGTCTCATGTTGTCTTTCTCCTTGTTGCTGATTACAGATGGATGGACAACCGTAACGCCGCCTGCACCCACCACAGGTAAATCACCTCCTCCATCGTCCCTGGCCTTGCTCTCCAGCTCTCGATAAGCATTGCACTTGCAAATGACAGGATGAAGCTGCTGGTGTCCTGCCACATCCGAGTCCCTGCATCGAGTAGGGTGATGGTGGGGACACTGAAGGCAGTGACTTGGGTCCGATGTTGCTTGGGGAGGTTGGTGACTGAAGTCCACTGGGTCCCATTCAGATCTTCTGGACAACCGTCTTCCACGAGCTCAGGACAAGCCCTGCTGGTCCTGCCAGGATGTAGTTTCTGGTTCCTAGGCCATGGGCTACTGGCCCAAGGAGAGTGGGTGAAGGGGCCTGACCTGTATCTGTCTGACCACGGTCCTGCCACCTGCTGACTTTCAAGAACCCAGTCAGGACCCTGCAGGTGCCAGAAGCTCTTGAACATGGGGATGGTCTGAGGCTGCCACTTCTCCCTGTGGAGACCTGTTATGACCATGGCCAGGGCTGGAAGTGGAGAGTAAAATGCTGTCTCTTCCACTGTGATCATGGGTGTTCCCCATAACTGGAGCTCCCTTGGATGTAGGACAGTACCATCACCCTGCTCCTTTTACCCTGATGAAGGGAAATCTGGACATACTCGGGTGACACCAGCTCCGGTGACTCTTGCCATCAGTAATGCCCTGAGTGTGAAATGTAACTTAGAGACTTAAACTCAAATAGGGGTGGATGAGGTGTCCTTTGTCCCCCAGAGGACTTACCTGGCTTGGAGCTGAGGCTGGTGAATGGAAATGACCAGTGCCAGGGCCTGGTGGAGGTCCTGTACGAAGGCTCCTCGGGTACCGTGTGTGACGACGCCTGGGGCACCATTGACGCCAGCGTGGTTTGCAGGCAGCTGGGCTGTGGTTCAGCCATTTCCACCCCCGGAAGTGCTGGGTTTTGTCAGGGTCAGGACAGAGTATCCTGGATGACATGAACTGCTCAGGGCATGAGTCCTCCCTGTGGAGATGCCCGTGTGGACTGGCTCTCCCTAACTGTGAACACCATGAGGACTCTGGTGTCATTTGCTCAGGTGGATTCTACAGTCCTATAGCCTCCCTTTGCAATATGGGCTTTGACCGTGTGGACCAGCTGGCTTGTTACCAGACCTTCGTTATGCATTGTGACTTAGACACGTGGAAACGGTTTCTGCCCTTAGGCAGACAGATGGTGCCTGCAAGATGGGTGTTGAGCAGCTCAGCTATCGGGGTCTATATCCAGCCTAATCCTCTAAAGGAATCCCTGGGCCATTTAACTGTGCCTGTCTGCTGTGGGGTGGCTTTGTCCCAGTCACCCTAGGGAGGGCATCGTTGCGCCTGGCACAGCCCCTCCACCTGCAGAGCTCTTCACTCTTGACCCCGCCTTGTGATTCCTGCTCTACAGCATAGGCCCCTGTGGTTTTACTTTGTCCCTCTTCAACCTGTTAGGTCCCCTCTGGTGCTGGCTCATGCATGTTTGGTGGCCTTGTAAGTGGTCCATCTCTCCTGGCTCATTCCAACTTTCCATCCTAGTTGGCATCACCTAGTTTGATATTGTTCCAACAGATAACTCTTGCAAGTTCAGATAAATGTCAGTGCACCTTGGCCCTTTGATACGCAAGACTGACTTGACCTTCCTGAGGAGCGACCTTGATACCCTCTGACCTGTTGCAGTCAACATTGGTTCAGGCCAGATGTCTCTATCTTTCCCTCCTCCTGACACCCTCCGAGTTTCAGGGCCACGTCTGCATGCAGGGGAGTTGGAGGCCGTGTCTGGGGGATGGCAGGGCACTAAGTGTTGCTGGGAGGGTGATTCTCTGTGGCTGACTCCTCGACCCCCCTTGTCTTCCAGTGCAGATGTCAGTCTAGGCAAGGTGTCCACTGTGGACTGGGCAGTGCACTGATCAGTGAATAGAGTGAGAAGAGAACCTTCTAGACTTAGAGAGATAGAGGGGCCAGTCTGGTCTCCAGCTGGGCCTCTGTGAGCAGGAGCGCCCAGGGTCCAGGAGAGGCAGGCTGCCACCTTCTGTTTCCCTGTGTGGACGTTAGCCTGCACGAGGGGACCTGACCCCGGGAAGTGGTTTGGCTGCACATAAATCATAGAACCTTGACTTCATCGTGGAAAACAGAATCAAACGAGACCTAATTGTGTTCCTTCAGGATCTGTGTCAGGTTTGGCCTTGAGGCTGGTGAATGGAGGTGACTGGTGCCAGGGCGAGGTGGAGGTCCTGTACCAGGAATCCTAGGGCACCGTGTGTGATGACAGCTGGGACATCAATGATGCCAACGTTGTCTGCAGGTAGCTGGGCTGTGGCTGGGCCGTGTCAGCCCCGGGAAGGGCCCAGTTTGGCCAGGGCTCAGGCTCAGTTGTCCTAGATTACGTTGGCCGCTTAGGGCGCGAGTCCTACCTGTGGGACTGCTCCCACCGAGGCTGGCTGTCTTGTAACTGTCCCTGGTGTAGACGCTGCTGTCATCTGCTCAGATGGGCCTCAGAGACGGTGGTAGGCCAGCCTGTTCTCGGGGCTTTGCTCGGGGGGAGCCCTTCCTACATTCTCATCCTCTTCCTCAAATGTCTTCTGGATTCCTGTTTTCATGAGGTCTCCTAAGTCTTCTGAGAACCAGTATTGGGTTTTGTCCAGCTGCCAGTGGCAGGTGTTGGGGTGGCCAGGGAGGATGGCGATTCAAATGGAAAGCACCCATCCGGGCTGCACCCCTTCCTGGGGCAGAGCGGGCAGGGAATGGAGAAGGGAGCCGGCTCAGCAGGTGCCTGGGAGGGGCCTGCACAAAATCTGTCTAAAGGGAGATCCTTAGCTACAGCCTCCAGGAAGAGGTTTCTGAGTGGAGGTGCATGGAAGTGGGCTGTGTGTGCTGACTTGGTTTTGGGGGGCCTGAGTCCCTGCACCCCCTCCAGAGAGCCGTGACTCACTGTGCACCAAGTCTCGTGTGGGAAGAGTGGTTCTTGGTGCTTGCTCACAAGGCCTGACTCTTGCCTGTGGCTGGGCCTCAAAGATTATACACAGGGACTGGCCTGGAGCTGGCTCCTTGTTCCTGCTGACTCACTGGGCAGCTCACAGCTCAAGGCGGAGTTGATTTGGGTTACTTGGTGACCACTCCTGACACACAGTTCGGCCCATGGCATTGCAGGCAGTGGACAGGATCTGCCAGGACCCCCTCATGAGGAGCATTTTGTGGGGGTGTGGATGGCAAGTACCACCCTTCAAGGGAGGGGACAGCTGGGCTGTGGCTGGGCTGTGTCAGCCCCGGGAAGTGCTCGGCGTGGTCAGGGCTCAGGACCCGCTGTCCTCGTTGAAGTGAGTTGCTCAGGAACTGCGACCTGTCTTAGAGCTGCCGCCGCCGCCGCGGTTGGCTGTCCCGTGGCTGTGAACACCGTGAGGAAGCCGGGTCATCTGCTCAGGTGACAGTATGGTGGGTCTCTTAGTGTGTGGTTTGCTGCACGAAAGGGCTCCTCCGCATAAGGCTCCCCTCACCCTCAGCACCTCTGCAGACAGAGATTCCCTGGCACCTCCACGGGGAAAGAGCATTGGCAGCCGCCCTTACTGTGTCTGGAGTTTGTGAGTGCTGGGGCTGCTTCCGCAGGCAGCTAACCTGCAATCTGCTTGAAGGTCTAAGAATAAACTCCCCCCACGTCTTTTGATTTGTGAAACTTACCCTTGAGATCATTTTTAAAATGATTGTGGATAATTTTTGTTTGCATCCACAAGGGTTTTATACATCTTAAGTTAGCTCGTGGTGCTTACAGTCCTGGTGTGAGAGAACGCGCAGATGCAGCACATCCTGGCCACGTCAGTGTGGCTGGCATTGCTGTCCCTTGGTGTTTCTTTGTGTTAGGAGACAGCTATGCTCTTTCAGTTCTTCATAAGGGACACGGTGGGTTACTGTGAGTTACTGCACTAACCCAGGAGGTTTGTGTGTCTACCGTTCAGCTCTCCTGGAAGCCTTGCAGGGCGTGTGTGGAGGGGAGGGGCGGGGAGGGAGGGGAGGGGCATTCCTGGTCATCCCGAGCTGCCCATTCTAACACATCCTGTGCAGGGAGACTGAACCAACCGCGCTTCCTTTTCGTTCTTGCGGTTGTGAGAGCCAATCTGACCACGCCAGTGAGCCAGCTCCACTCTGACCTAGCGATCTTCCTCTCTGGGCTCCACCCTGGCTTCCAGGAGGAGGAAGAGGGCAGATTCATCCTCAGATTTCCCTCCGAGGACTCTGGGATTTGTTAAGGTGGCAGCTGAATTCTTGCAACCATCAGCTGTGACATTGGGCTCACCGTGGTGGGGGTGGGGCCTGTGGCTGCTGCCATGGCCCACGGGCAGTGCTGGTCTGGGGTGCTGCCTGCAGAGGAGGCTCTGGGCCTCTGGTCAGTGCAGATGAAAGTGCCCATGGGGAACTATGACCTTCACCTAAGAAACACGGCCAAGTAAAGCTGCTACACATGTTGGTCTAGGGAAGAATCCTCCACTTTGAAGGAGCATGCAAGTCCTTTGTGCCCCGTGTGTTTCTTCTGGGCCAACTTCTTTGGGGTACCTAACAAGGGTAACAAGGGTACTGTTAGTTACCTTTTTGATTTAAATGAAGAGGAAATAGAGCTCCATCATGAAAACAAAACTTGTTTTCCTATGGAGAGAGAGATGTGAAGCGTGTGTGTACAGGCTGGGTGCAGGGCATGGTAGGGCCAGCCAGGTGGGCTACGTGTGTGTGCAGGCTGGGTGCAGGGCATGGTGGGGCCGGCCGGGTGGGCTATGTGTGTGTGCAGGCTGGGTGCAGGGTGCGGTACCTAACAGTACCCTTGTTGGCCGCTAAGTGTCCACTGGGATGGTCAAGGCTCTGAGAAGTCCTGTAGTAAGGAAAAGGATTTAACTTTGTCAAACTAATAACCACAGAGTTTAAAAATCTAGTGAGGGGCCCGTGTTGTGGCAGAGCGGGTAAGACTGCTGCCTGCGATGCTGGCTTCCCATGTCCCAGCTGCTCCACTTCTGACCCAGATCCCTGCTAACGGCCTGGGAAGCAGCAGAAGATGGTTCAAGTGTTTGGGCCCCTGCTACCCACATGGGAGACCCAAATGAAGCTCCTGGCCTCTGACTTCGGCCTGGTCCAGCCCTGGTCATTGTGGCCATCTAGGTGAACCAGTAGATGGAAGATTCTCTTGCTCTCTCCCCCTCTCTCTATACCTTTGATTTAAAAAAAAAAAGTTCTAATACAAAAATTATCTAATGAAATCCTAAACCAGCTTCTTTTGCTTTGCAGATTGGTGGGAACCAACAGTCACAACCACTGTAGGTAAGTCCCGCACATTCCCTCTGAATCCCAGGGTGTGGTTTTCTTATCCCAAAGTGCTGCAGTCCATAAAATGGAGCCCCCCCCCCCCCACACACACACCAGTACACACAGCAGCCCAGCCCAGCCTGCACACACACATAGCCCACCCGGCCGGCCCCACCATGCCCTGCACCCAGCCTGCACTCACACGTAGCCCACCTGGCCGGCCCCACCATGCCCTGCACCCAGCCTGCACACACACATAGCCCACCCGGCTGGCTCCACCGCGCCCTGCACCCAGCCTGCACACACACATAGCCCACCCGGCTGGCTCCACCGCGCCCTGCACCCAGCCTGCACACACACATAGCCCACCCGGCTGGCCCTACCATGCCCTGTACGCAGCCTGCACACACACCCTTCACATCTCTCTCCATAGGAAAACAAGTTTTGTTTTCATGATGGAGCTCTATTTCCTCTTCATTTAAATCAAAAAGGTAACTGTTCTTAAAAGAAGATACTTAAAAGGAGAAACGTATGTCCTGGATTATCTTGAAGGCTTTGGGAGGAAGAAGGGAGAAGATGAGAAACGGCTGATTTCGCAGTTGGTCGCGTTTCTCCATGTCATCTGTTTCACTGTGAATGTGTTCCCATGGCTTCCCGTTGCCCTTGGGGAACGACATGGCGGCTTTTCTGCATGTCATCTGTTTCACTGTGAATGTGTTCCCATGGCTTCCCGTTGCCCTTGGGGAACGACATGGCGGCTTTTCTGCATGTCATCTGTTTCACTGTGAATGTGTTCCCATGGCTTCCCGTTGCCCTTGGGGAACGACATGGCGGCTTTTCTGCATCGTTCCTTCTTTTCTCACCATCATTCTCAAGGCCCGTGTTGTACCCTGTTGGACGCCATGCCACGAATTATTGAATGCCTAGTTGCTGACCACTTAAGCTCTTTATAATTCTTCATTATTACAAATGAGTCTATGATGAATCATTTTAAAGAGAAGTCTTTGCACCGGCGTTGCAGCTTACTTGGTTAATCCTCCGCCTGCGGTGCCGGTACTCCAGGTTCTAGTCCCGGTTGGGGCGCCAGATTCTGTCCCGGCTGCTCCTCTTCCAGTCCAGCTCTTTGCTGTGGCCCGGGAAGGCAGTGGAGGATGGCCCAAACTTCGGATGGTGCAGTATGCGGGCTGTGGTGGCCATCTGGGGGGTGAACCAATGGAAGGAAGACCTCTCTGTCTCTCTCTCACTGTCTAACTCTGCTTGTCGAGATATATAAAGCAGAAGCAGACAGGAGAGGAAGGAGGATAGTCTTTGCATACTTTATTTTTTCTTTAGAACCTAAGTAGACTTACTCGGCTAACATTAACATAGCGCCTAGTCCATGAAATATATTTGATAAACACTAACTCTTACTGTGTAAATACTTTAAATCCTTGCAGTGTGTGTGGTCAAATTGCCGTTGAGAATGGTTGATGATGAAAAAGGCAGCCCGATCTCCCAGCTGCCAGCTGCCAGCGTTAGTTAATCTGGGATTAGCTGTGTGGTTACGGCTGTGACAGGTGCATCCAAGCAGAAGTTCAGTGTGCAGAGAGGGCGTAGGAGCAGGGACCGTCTTGAGGAGGGGGTCAGGAAAGCCGAGCCCTCCGAGAGGAGCAAGTTCCTGTGCTGGAGAGTCTTGCAGCCAGGGTGGGTGGGTTCCAGGTGTGAAGACCACTTGGTGAGGGCCAGACCCCTCAGGGCCTCGTGGACAGGCTAAAGCTCCCGACTTGGTGGAGGACAGTAGGGACTGTTCAAAAGTCACAGCATCAAGGGGGGTGCGTGCGTGTGTGTGCGTGTGTGTGTGTGTGTGTGTGTGTGAAATCCCAGAGGCTTTCACCCAGAAGTTGATCCCTTGGCGCGAGACGCCTGAAGACCTGCCACCATGGGGATGTCCTTCTGTCTGTCCTCTGCAGGGCCCTCTTCAAACTGCGGCGGCTTCCTGTACAATGCCACGGGGAGCTTTTCCAGCCCGTCCTACCCTGGCTACTACCCCAACAATGCCCTGTGTGTCTGGGAAATAGCCGTGCCTTCTGGTTACCTCATCAACCTGGGCTTCAGCCAGCTGCGGTGAGTGACAGTGAGTTGCCGAGGGCTGCTTTGCCCCCTGCCTCGGGGCGTCCAGCAGTGTCAGTGTGGGGCAGGCTTGCTGCCACCACGTTACCTTCAACGCACCTCTCCTAAAATCCAAGCTGTCTATAAAAAGGGGGACGAGGGGAGGTTCGGTGTTGACTTGGAGATGTCTGTGCCCATCCAGGTTGGAGCAGCACAGTTATTGCGATTTTGATTACGTGGAAATCTTCGATGGATCACTGAATAGTAGTTTGCTGGGGAAAATCTGTAATGACAGCGGGCAGATATTCACGACTTCCAGCAATCGAATGACCGTTCTGTTCCGAAGCGACATCAGTGTCCAGAATACGGGCTTTTTGGCTTGGTATAATTCCTTTCCCAGAGGTAGGCGCACACCTGGTCTCGCTGGCGAGGCTCGTTGGATTTAGCCAGGCCTCCCAGCTGGGGCAGTGCTTGCTGGGAGTAGTCAAAGAAGGACGTCAGTGGAGCTTTGTCCGGGACCCTTGTCTCCCAGCTGACATGGGAGCCGTGGAGGGGTAGGTCCTTGGCCAAGGCAGTGAGATGTACACAGCAGGGAGTCCACCTGGACGTGGGTCTGCCACCTACGCCCGAGGACCCTGGTGGTTCTCCTTGCTGAGCCAGCCCCTCCCTGGCTGGAGGGGAGGGAGTCCCAGCTTTGTGACGTCTGGAGCCCCTTCCAGCTTTGCGTGGAGGGGTCCAGGTTTACACATTTTCATCTGGGGACTTGGTAGGGGCAGGGCCCAGGGGTTATGTGCTGATGGGGTTGCTCATGGGACGCGGCCTTCACCTCCTCCTGCGTGTGCCTTTCAGATGCCAGCTTGAGATTGGTCAGTGGAAATTCCTCCTACGGCGCCTGTGCTGGGCGTGTGGAGATTTACCATGGCGGCAGGTGGGGAACCGTCTGCGATGACTCCTGGGACACTCAGGATGCCCAGGTGGTCTGCCGGCAGCTGCAGTGTGGAGATGCGGTGTCCGCCCCAGGAGGTGCCTACTTCGGCTCAGGCTCTGGCCCCATCACCCTCGATGACGTGAACTGCTCAGGCACAGAAGCCACGCTCTGGCAGTGCCGGAGCCAGAGCTGGTTCTCCCATAACTGTGGGCACCACGAAGACGCCAGTGTCATCTGCACAGGTAAGTCATGGTGTCATGGAAGGCATATTCCATCTGTAACCTGATGTCAGGCAAAATATCAAGGAAAAACTCAGGGCTCCTGGCTCAGTTCTGACACACAGGGGGCTAGCAGGGGCTTGTCCCCTGGCTTGCCATGCGGAGGCCACTGTACCCTATGTCCAGTTTCTGCACCCTGGGCCACCGTGCTCCACGACCCATTCGGTTTCCTCCGTGCTGAAGTGGAGCGATCATGGTAGCACTTGCCTCCCTGGTAGTTGGGACAATGGTGGAACCTTTCTGAGCAGGTAGAGTGGGAGTTGCTGTGACCTTGGCTTTGAGGCTGATGGACCCCAAATAATGACAGGGCTGGGGAGCAGCCGGGCAACCTTTAACCCCTGCAGGCCCCCTCTTGGCCACGGTAACTGAGTGGACCAGGAGCACGGGCACTGATAGGGTCAGATAATAAGTCCCTGGGTGCCCCTGCTGTGTTTTGTCCACTCCTCCTGGCCACTTCTGTGACCTGTGCCTTCTTTCCATGTCCTTGCAGGAAACTATGGAACAACAACTGGTGAGCACCTGGGACTTCCGTTTCACTTCCTGGTCTCTGCGTCCCTCGGCGGTGGCGCCCTGGGCCCTGAGAGTGTGCTCTCCTGCCCTGCCTCCCCCAACTCCCTGCCTCCCCTGCAGCTGCTGTCCCGACCCCTGCAGGGCTGGGCCTCTCCAGGCCCAGGACAGTTTGCACTTCTTTGTCCTTTGGTGGCCAGCCCAACCCAGGATTCGTCTCCCGAATCACCATCAGTTCTTCCTGTTCCTCCCACCCCTCGTGCCAGATCATGGTCACTGTAGGCCAAGTGCAGCCCACTTGGCAGCCCAGCTCGAGGAGTCACAGACAACGGCTCCTTCTGCCCACTCTGGTGTTCCCAGCACAGCCTGGCTCCTCAGGGCCTTTCCTTGCACCCCACCCTCGCCTCCTCATCCTCCCTGGCTTCCTGCAGCACAAGTTCAGGCTTGCCTCTGCCGTCCATTCTCCGCTGGGCAGCCAGGGGCGTCGTGACCAAGTGCAGGTGTGAGGTTGGCCTCAGTGCCCTTGAAGCGAGCCCTCCAGGCCTTCGTGACTCGCTTCCTCTGTCCACCTGGTGCCCGCACTGCCACAGCCGTCCCTGGCCCCTGTGCAGGCGCTGTTCCTCTGCCCGGAACTCCTTCTCTTCTCCACGCCGTCTGGGTCAGGAACCAGACCTCTTGCTCCGGCCCTCCCTGGCAGTCCTTGCCCTCAGCCTCATCCCAGGGTGCTGGGAGTCCTGCTTTTCCCTCTGTCCTCCAGCTGTGAGCTCCCTGAGGGCAAGGCCCCTACCCAGCCCCTCCTGTGAACGCAGGGCTGGCCCCGAGCCCGGCACAGGTGACCAGGCCCTCAGCAATGGTGCTGAGAATGCTGGAAAACTGACTGGTCTTTTCTTTGCCAACAGCTTCTGTGCCCAACATCTCCACCTCAAATGGTAAGTTCCAAGCCCTTGCTGAGCCTGTGGCAGAGATGCCTGGGGCCCCTGTCCCTGTGACAGGGTGACAGGGTGTCCTCAGTGACACTGGTGATGCAGAGGGGTGGCCAGAGTGGCAAGGACCTGGCTCCCCTAGGCACAGCATCCCTGGGAGGGTAACGCCCACCCTCTGTGGGTGGTCCAGGCGCAGGCCGCGGCTTGCTGGGCTTGTGCCTTGGAAATCGCCAAGCTGTGAGCTTGGGGGTATCCGCGTCCCCATTTTTTCCCGACAGCAAGTTATTCCTGTGGAGGCTTCCTGTCCCAGCACTCCGGACGCTTTTCCAGCCCCTTCTATCCCGGAAACTATCCCAACAACGCCAGATGTGTGTGGGACATTGAGGTCCAAAACAACTACCAAGTGACCGTGACCTTCACTGATGTCCAGTAAGTGTACAGGTGCAGGACAACACACACGGGGGCCGCACCGCCATCAGGGAGGGGAAGACGGGCGTGTGTCCGGGGACACTTCATTATGGAGTGATTTTTGACCTAGCACAGAGGCTGCGCATGGAGGGAGGGAATGGCCAGTGCGGGGTTAGGTTATCCGTTCCTCCTCCTGTGACAGGTGGAAACTGTCACCCAAAGCCAAGAGGGCAGGTGGCTGCCCTGACCATGAAGAGACCCCAGGGTTTCCAGTGTCCTGGATGACGAGTGGGGTTGCGGGGTGGGGCAGGGGCAGGACCGCGATTGCTTCTCTAACAGCCGTTGCCGAGCAAGATTTTCTCTCTTGATTTGTGTCTGCGGTGGCCCCAGGAGTCTTTGCCGTAGTCATTTACTTGGTTTTTGCAAAGGACAGCTGATTTTGATCTCCTTGGCATTGTAGTACAAGGACTGCACTTCAGGCTCACGAAACCCTGTGGGCACAGTCGACCGTGTGAGGCTGAAACCCTGTGTTCTGTCTCCACAGGCTGGAAGGCGGCTGCCAGTACGATTATATCGAAGTCTTCGACGGCCCCTACCATAGCTCCCCCCTCATCGCTCGGGTCTGTGACGGGGCTCGGGGCTCCTTCACCTCGTCCTCGAACTTCCTGTCGGTTCGCTTCGTCAGTGACGGCAGCATCACGAGGAGGGGGTTCCAGGCGGAGTTCTACTCCCTCCCCTCCAATGACAGCACCAGTGAGTCCCTTGAGAGGGTGCATGGGTGGCAGTGGGACATCACTCAGCCTTCTGGTGCTCGGTGTCCTGTGGTTGTGGAATAAGGAAGTGGAGCAGCCCTGTGGGTCACCAGGGCTCGATTTCCTGCTGAAAGGGGCCAGGAGCAGTGGCCCTGGAATGCTGGCTGGGCAGGAAGAGGGTCAAGGGGCAGTGCTGGATGATGGACAGCGCCTTGGCCCTGTGGACTTTCTGGAGTGTGAGACACTGGCTGTGTCCTGAGGCCCAGCATCCTTGGCTTCCATCTGAAGATGGGCAGAGCGGGACCCTCAGGCTCTTCCAGCGGGAAGGCGTGGGCACAATTTAAGTTGTCGTGTGGACTGAGTGTAGACTGGTCAAGGGCTGGGCAGGGTGGCGGCCAAAGTCTCTTATGCAGTCAGGATTTGAAGCACTGGCCTGCTCCATAGCTAAACAACCTTATTTCTTGACATCTCCACAATATGAGTGTAGAGTTTCTTTACTTTGCAGATAAACGTTAAGTTGGCAAAGCATTTCAGTTATTTAAAATCTTGTCTCTAATTCTCCATTGGAGAGAGTCCATGTGCCCCCTCTGGGCTTGCATGAGGCTGGGGCTGACCTGATCCTCAGGGTACCCCGGGGTTGCAGCGAGGTGGAGTCTGTGCCTGCACCCTGCCCAGCCATCTTCCACGTGCACTTTTATGCGGGAGGAGCTCCCAGTAGGGTTTGCAGGGCTTGGGGTCGCTGGCTAAGTGTGTTGTCTGCTCTTGTCCATCAGACCTCCTTTGTCTGATGAACCACATGCAAGCCAGCGTGAGCAGGGCCTACCTGCAATCCCTGGGCTTCTCCGCCTGGGACCTCGTCGTCTCTGGCTGGAATGGGACCTACCAGTGTCAGCGCCAGATAACGCCAAGCCAGGTGATATTCACGATTCCCTACTCGGGCTGTGGCACCATCAAACAGGTAAGCCGGGGTTTCCCATGCTCTGTTTCCCATTGACCCAGCTTCCTCACAGGGATCTGGGCCTCTTGCTTGAAGTTGCAATGATAATGTGATCAGGATAGAAATCTCTGGTGCCATGACAGCTGCAGCCACTCCAAATGGGAGGGAGGAGAGGAAGGAAGCTGAGCAGGCGGAGTTCCTCCAGCTGTGTCCAGAGAGAGGGAACTTGCAGGCTGCCACTCAATCATGAGCAGCTCCCTGGGGCAGCCCTGAGTTCTGTGGAATCCAAAGCTTGTATGTTTTGTTGCTGGGGTAGGTAAGAACAGAGGAGCATCAACAGGCCAACTTGTGCAAGTTTGACAAAACATCTGACTGTGCAAACACATTGCTCAGCCGTGGAGGAGGCCTGTGCACAGGGAGGACCCTCAAGTTTAAGTTTCGTAAGCATCGTAGTAAATCACCCCCTGCAGTTAGCATTTTGAACTATTACCACCTAGGTTGACCAACCATCCTGGTTTGCTTGGGATGTTGCAGATTTTTTAAAAAGAGTTACTTTTTGAAAGTCAGAGTTACAGAGAGAGAGGGAGAGAGAGAGAGAGGTTGTCCATCCACTGGTTAGTCGTGAATTCCATCAGTGGAAGTCAGTCCACCCTAGAGGATGGTCACTCTTGTTCTGCGTGTGTGTCCTGGGGATGCTGACATCTGAGACCCCAGGCACGAGGAGGGGGTTCCAGGCGGAGTTCTCACCCCCCCTCCAATGACAGCACCAGTGAGTCCCTTGAGAGGGTGCATGGGTGGCAGTGGGGACATCACTCAGCCTTCTGGTGCTCGGTGTCCTATGGTTGTGGAATAAGGAAGTGGAGCAGCCCTGTGGGTCACCAGGGCTCGATTTCCTGCTGAAAGGGGCCAGGAGCAGTGGCCCTGGAATGCTGGCTGGGCAGGAAGAGGGTCAGGGCCAGCGCTGGCTGCTGGACAGCGCCTTGGCCTTCTTGTGGTCACCATCCTCTCATTGGGACAGTGCCATACCCCCAGGTGTAAGGCTGTCATCCCTGGACAGGCCACTCTCAAGTCATGGTGTACACAACAGAGGGTACAAGACACCAGCATTCTTAGGACTTTGCTGCTTGGTGAAAGGCACAGAAGCAGATGGTTCCGTTGAACGGGGATGTGAGAATGCACAGGAACTGCTCCTGCAGGCCATGCGAGAGCAGTCTCTCCCCAGTGGTCAAGTCCAGCTGCAGGTGTAACTGGATCTCCGTGGCTTCCAGCTCCACAGCTTCAGCCACTGAGCTGCAGTAGCTACCCATCAATCCACACACAAAACAGTGATTACTGATTCCTCCCCCAACGCACACACATTCACAACAGTTATGAGGCTTTCTCCCCTAGGGCTCCCTACAACCAGAATGGGAATGAAACCAGAAAGCAGGGCTGTCAGTGTACACACCGAAGTCCGCTAGTCATGGGGCAAGTCCAAGGCCATACAGACACACCCATCTTCCACAAGAGGCCCAACAACCAGCCCGTACTGGTCCTGTTCTCTGGTAGAGGAAGTGAGGGAGTAGGGAAGGACGTGGTCTTGCCTGTTAAGCTGTACGTGCGGCTGGGCCATGGCAGCCATGGGAGCTGCGTCAGCCCTCACTGAAGTCCTGTTGGGTCAGCCGCCTCTCGTTCTGACCCAGCCGGCAATGGGACTCCCTTAGCGGGGGACGTTTGCCTGACTGCGCACCTGCCGGCCTCTGCTAGGTGGACAACGACACCATCACCTACTCCAACTTCCTCAAAGCCGCTGTTTCGAGTGGGGTCATCAAGAGGAAGAAGGACCTGCACATCCACGTGAGCTGCAGGATGCTGCAGGACTCCTGGGTGCATACCATGTACATTGCCAACGACACCATCGAGGTCAGCGAGGTCCAGTACAGCAACTTCAACGTGAACGTCTCCTTCTACACGTCCTCCTCCTTCTCCTACCCCGTGACCAGCAGCCCCTACTACGTGGACCTGGACCAGAATCTGTACCTTCAGGCTGAAATCCTGCATTCTGACGCCTCCCTGGCCTTATTTGTGGACACCTGTGTGGCATCGCCAAACCCCAACGACTTCACCTCTGTGACCTACGACCTAATCCGGAGCGGGTAAGGGCGGCCTGTATGTGATGGACACAGGCCTTTCCCTGAGCGTGCGAGTGGGAGTGGTTCAGAAGGCTTGGGGAGCGCAGGTTTTGGGTCACTGAAGCTCCTAGGTGTTGAAACCCGGCCGGCTCCCTTGCTGCACAGAGCCACCTCCTGCAAGGCACTTTCTCTGGTTCCTGGACCTCATCCGTGATTAGAAGGGCAGCACGGTCCGCGTCTCTTCTCAGTGAACACATGGGAGGGAAGGGTGTCTGGAGATGTCGGTGTCTCACCAGGGCTCACCCCGTAAGTTAGCTTACCAGCTTAAACCGGATTAGACTTCAGGTGACCATGCTGTAGCTTTATGGTGAACAGACCCACGTGAAGTAGGAGAGGCACTGATTTTGGAGCAAACCGAGGCGGAAATGCCGGCTTCGACGTGTGCTGGCTGCATTGCCTCTCAGCTGTCAGCTGGGGGCGCCGATGCCCACACTGCGAGGCTGCTGGAGGACAAGAAGGGCTGCCAGGCACAGGGTACGCACTGCAGTGCTGCACCAGGGCCGCAGAGTGCCCGTGACCTCCCTCCCCCGGGACTGGCCCCTGGTTCCGGTCAGGCCAGTGGTGTGGGCTGGGCGCCAATGGTGCCCAGACTGGGCTGCCCTCCACTGCCCCGCCTCCCTGGAGGAAGCCCTCTGGTGAGGTGGTTGCACTTTTTTGCACTCCTGAAGGGGCCCTGGGACACCAGGGTGCACAAGTCACATCCCCGTCGGTAGTCTCTGACGGTGATGGTGGTCCCGGCATGCACATCTCAGTAGCCACTCCCTTCCAGAAGCTGCAGTAACAGGGTAGGGGCTCTGCCTGGAGTTGGAGGTCGTCACTGGATCTCACCGTCACCATAAGGCAGCGTCCTTCCCGTCACCGTCTGAACGCGTGTCAGGCCAGTGGGCTGCTGTGGTCCCCAGACTGTGGGGTTGGTTGTGTTCACAGCAGCCGCTAGGCAGCAAGGTTGGGAAGAGAGCTTTACAGATCCCTCAGGATAGCGGTGACAAGTGCCGGCTGCGGTTGTGTGCAGTGATGGAGATGACACAGTGAGAGGCAGGGCTCTCCCCTGCCAAAGACTGGTTTCTGTTAAGCTTTGCCGTAAGTCGGATCGTGCCGCTTGCTGGGGGAGGGGGTGTGCACACGGTGCAGACAAGTCTCCACTGTACCCAGAGCACAGGGACGCATTGGCCGCACCTGGCCACCAGCCAGGTCCCCGGCCCAGAGGCCCCTTGGATAACCTGGGGTGTCGAAGAGCCCTTGACCCAGCCCCCTTCTCTCCCTCTGCCCGTGGGGGCTCGGGATCCTCTGGTTCTCACCATCTCCCAGGGGGATCCGTGCCGCTCAGGCCCAGGCAGGAGGCTGTGGGAGCCGCAGTTCCTGCCCAGGTAGCTCCTGAGTGCCCGGCCTCCTTCACAAATGCCCGCTTAGCCTCTGCCACGAACAAGGAAACCTGGGAGTTCGGGCGTGCGGTGGAGGCAGGGTCAGGGCCGTTCCAGGCAGAGCCAGGCTGCCCGAGGCCAGGGCCATCTGCCCAGGACACAGCCGCTCTCTCTGTCCCTCTGCCGCTCACTGGAAATCCCTCCATCGTAAGCGTAGGGGGTGGCCATGGCTGTGGGAGGTGCAACCTCATCCACACCGGCCGAGGGGAGGGCGAGGTGGTCAGTATTGCAGTCAGGGTCCCAAAGGGTCATCGAGGTCATCAGGCACGTGGGAAGCACAGGGCTTATGGCTGGCTGGGGTGGCTCAGCAGAGAGAGGCCTGGGAGAGAGTGCCAGGAGCACAGCGGACACTGAGGGTGCCCAGAGTGTGCAGATGTCACCGAGCCTGGTCCTGAGACCAGAAAGCAGCCTGCTCTGTCTCTGGGCTTCCTGCCCAATTCACCTGGTCCCTAGGGGCCCTTAGCACACAGTCACGGTGGGATCCGGTGGACCTGCTGTGCATCACGGGGCCTGCTTGTCTACCTGGAAACCTAGTGACGCACCTGAGCCGCGCGGAGTTGTGTGCACACCTCACTGCGGTACACCATCCACTCGTTCTGCAAGGAAAGGGGAGGCCGGGCAGCGCAGCCAGGGTGGGGGGGTGGGGGGGTGTCCCACGCCTGGTGCAGCAGAGTCCAGACAGGAGCAGGCCTTGCTGAGAGCCAACGGTGTGAGCTCATCTCTACTTCCAGGTGCGTGAGGGATGAAACCTACCGATCCTACGCCCAGCCATCGCCCCGCGTCGTGCGCTTCAGGTTCAATTCCTTCCACTTCCTGAACCGCTTCCCCGCCGTGTACCTGCGGTGTAAGATGGTGGTGTGCCGGGCCTACGACTACTCCTCCCGCTGCTACCGGGGCTGCGTGGTGCGCTCCAAGAGAGACGTGGGCTCCTACCAGGAAAGGGTGGACGTCGTCCTGGGACCCATCCAGCTGCTGGACCCCCCTGCAGGGAAGAAGAGCCCGGGGAAGGGGTCTCCCTGAGACCCCCACTGCCCACGGGGCCGAGGCCCATGATGCTCTGCGCTCACTTGTTTCTGCTGGCCTCCTGTTCCGCTGCGACGACAGAGCGCCTACTGTGTGCCAGGCCACACGCATTGGACTTGACCCAGTTCCTGCTTTCCCTCAAGGCTCCCGTGTAGGGTGTGATCGAGAGTGCTCTGGCCTGGGAGGCAGGTGGACTTGACCCCTGACCCTTCTGTGCATCTGTGAAATAAAAATGTTGATCCTCACCTCTTAGAGCTGTTGAGAGAGAAATAAAGTCCTGTCCGTTCAACCGCCTCAGACCCTGGCTGGTGCAGGCCGTGGGTGCTCCGGGAACGGGGCTCTGTTCTGCTGTTCTTGTCCGCGCACTGAGACAGTCAGGACAGTACTGTTTCTCCTGGTGGTAACGGCAGCAAACTCACATCCAGGTCTGCGCAGGGCCCTGGGGCTGCAGGCTCCGATTCCTGCTGCCTGCCTACCGGCCCAGCATCTTCTCTTTGCTGTTAAGAACCGGGGGCCTTGTTGTGGGTGTGGGTGAGGAAACGTTTGCAGAGCCGTCTCCTGCCTTCTTGCGAGACTGGGGCCAGGCCAACAGCCGTGGGGGTGCAGTCGGCATGGGTCACCAAGCCTGGGCCAGGCGCCAGCCCTGGGCCCTTGGGCCCCTCGTTCAGACCCTCTCCAAGGCCAGCTGAGTCTGATGCTTCCTTTACTCATTCTCTCACTCGGTGCTGACTTGCTGAAGGACTGCTGTGTGTCTGCACACAGTGGATAAAACAGACACAGGTCAAAGCCCCTGCTTTGGGTGGTGGTGGTGGGAGGATCCCTGTGCAGGTGCACCCACGGAGTCAGAGCTGTGGAGTGGGCCATGGGCTGGGCGACGCTCACTCTCCCCCTTCTGTGCCCCTGCAGCCCCTGTATCAGCTTGGGTCCTGGAGCCCCAAGCAAATGCCTTCCTCTAGGGCCCTGCTCTGGGGTCCTGCTTGGAAGCCCGTCTCTGAAAGCTCTTTTTTTTTTAAAAAAATATTTATTTATTTTATTATTTGTTTAAGAAATACAACGTTTTTTTTTTTTTTTTTTTTGTGGACAGGCAGAGTGGACAGTGAGAGAGAGAGACAGAGAGAAAGGTCTTCCTTTTGCCGTTGGTTCACCCTCCAATGGCCGCTGCAGCCGGCGCATTGCGCTGATCCGAAGCCAGGAGCCAGGGGCTTCTCCTGGTCTCCCATGGGGTGCAGGGCCCAAGCACCTGGGCCATCCTCCACTGCACTCCCTGGCCACAGCAGAGAGCTGGCCTGGAAGAGGGGCAACTGGGACAGAATCCAGTGCCCCGACCGGGACTAGAACCCGGTGTGCCGGTGCCGCAAAAGAAATACAACTTTGTTACCAGTCATGGAGGGTAGGGCGGTTGCTGGAGTGAGTCTCATGCATTCTTTTCCTCAGCTTAGTATAGAAATAAAAAGCCAGGGCCGGCGCCGCGGCTCACTAGGCTAATCCTCTGCCTTGCGGCGCTGGCACACTGGGTTCTAGTCCCGGTCAGGGCGCCGGATTCTGTCCCGGTTGCCCCTCTTCCAGGCCAGCTCTCTGCTGTGGCCAGGGAGTGCAGTGGAGGATGGCCCAGGTGCTTGGGCCCTGCACCCCATGGGAGACCAGGATAAGTACCTGGCTCCTGCCTTTGGATCAGCGTGGTGCGCTGGCCGCAGCACACCGTCCACGGCGGCCATTGGAGGGTGAACCAACAGCAAAAGGAAGACCTTTCTCTCTGTCTCTCTCTCTCACTGTCCACTCTGCCTGTCAAAAAAGAAAAAAAAAGAAATAAAAAGCCAGGAAACAATTTGCAGAGGCAGAAACTTTTATTCGATTGGCGAGTGACAGAAAGTGTCTGGTCCGAGAGGAGCCCAGGCGGAGGGCCCGAGCAGGATACTGGCTTTGTCTGTTCCCTGGGTCATCCTACTGGGGGTGCCCATTGGACAGGAGGTAGCACATATGTATGTTGATTGGCTTGGGGCTCATGGAGATAGTGAGGGTCTCCTTAGGGGCTCAGACCCCCTCCTCTGCGAGCTCTGGTCGGAAGACTGCACCCACCCTGAGCTGCGATTTAAAGTCCCAGGTCACACAAGGTGGCCTGGATCCCTGGAGCCTGTCCAGCCTCCCCAGGGCACAGCCCCTTCCCCTGCCGGCTCTGAGGGGGTGATTTAAAGCAGCCAGGTTATACCCCCAGCACCTGGAGCTGGGAGTGCGGGAGATGCCCATTGGCTGGAGACCGGCTTCCGGCCCCGTGACAGTGGCTCGTGACGGACATTCTCCCTGTCCGAGGGCCACAGCCCCACAGCCCCACTGGCCAGCCTCAAACTTCATGCGTTTAATATATACAGATTTGGGAATGTGACGACTCTCCCCCTTACCTCCTTCCCAGCCATACTCCCGCCTCTCTTCCTCTTCCCTCTTTCTTTCCCATTTTGCTTTTCACAGAGGTCAATTTTCAGTTAATTTTTTTTTGACAGGCAGAGTGGACAGTGAGAGAGAGACAGAGAGAAAGGTCTTCCTTTTCCATTGGTTCGCCCTCCCCCCCCCATTGGCCGCTGTGGCCGGTGCGCTGATCCGAAGCCAGGAGCCAAGTGCTTCTCCTGGTCTCCCATGCAGGTGCAGGGCCCAAGGACTTGGGCCATCCTCCACTGCACTCCCTGGCCACAGCAGAGAGCTGGCCTGGAAGAGGGGCAACTGGGACAGAATCCGGCGCCCCGACTGGGACTAGAACCCGGTGTGCCGGTGCCGCAAGGCAGAGGATTAGCCTAGTGAGCCGCGGCGCTGGCCTCAGTTAATTTTTATACTTAGAAGATTAACCCCACACTAAGTAGAGAGTTCACTGATTAGTATGAAGAAAAGAGAAAGAAAGAACAAAACCAAATAAACAAGAAAAGCATTGTTCCTCGTCAGTCAGGGCAAGGGCTGTTCAAAATCATCGCATCTCAGAGCATCAGTTGCTCTGAGATGACATTTTAGCTACTCTGTTAGTTTCCATGGATCAGAGGACCATATGGTATTTGTCCTTTTGGGACTGGCTTATTTCACTAAGTATAATGGTGCCGGAGACCAGCTCCAGCCAGTTCAGGGGCCCCAAGATGTGAGAGGTGTCGGCGCTCGAAGAAATGAGAGACACTCTCAGCAAGGCTGATGGATGGCATGGCTCTGGCTTTTGAGCACCAGGTTTTATTTTTATATCATGTCGCACAATGATTTTTTCTTCTTACAATGAAAAGCCTGTTGTCCATTTTTCCTAATTACAATTTTTTTGATTTTCAAGGGCATACTCAGAGCATGGGTTACAATCACAGACAGGTGCAAGATAACAGGCTGCCCACACAAGCCAAGGCCTCAAGTGCTGTCGAGCTAGGCAGAAATTGGCTATATAGGCTAGAATAGTACCTTCCTAATCTAATCTTTACTAGAAGCCCCACGTTCAAAGCAGACCCTTTTTAAAATGTATCCCCTTTGCAATTTTTTCTGTAATTCTTTAATTTCTTTATTGCACTTATTTAAAGGTTTACTTAGATCTATTTTACAGTTTTGACATCCTAACCATTGTAGTATTTGTAGCATATAGGGAATTAAAGCTTTATTAACATCTATCTTTATTCTAGTGGGAAGTATGTACCAGAGAGCCTGTTGCCTTTTAATTCTTTTCTACAAACAGCTCAACCTCGCATAAGGCATTAACCCTTTCTTCTACACTAACATTCTGCTTGATTAAAATTCTACAAGGCAATGGACATTTTGGAGGTTATGAGACTAAGTGCTCTTTTATAAAATTAGGAATACAGCAGTCATTAGCAGGACCACCAGGAAGCTCCAGCTTGTAGTTCCCATCAAACCTAAAACCACCAAGAGGACTGCAGCTGTCCTTCTCATGCCTTGCTGAGACAGGCCTTCTGCTGTGACCTTGTCAGCCAGCTGAAGTTGCCTTGGCGTCGTCATAATGGTTTCCAGTTACATCCATTTTGTTGCAAATGATAGGATTTCAATTTTTTCTTCTGTGTAGAATTCCATGGTGTATATATACCATAATTTCTTTATGCAGTATGGATATCTGGGTTGAGACATTTTTCAAGAGGGGAAATTCAAATGGCAAATAGACATGAAAAAGTGCTCAGGATCACTAGCCATCAGGGAAATGCAGATCAAAACCACGAAGGCTTCGCCCCACCGCCATTAGAATGGCTCTCATACAGAAATCGACAAACCACAAATGCTGGCGAGGATGTGGGGAGAAAGGGACCTTGATCCACTGTTGGTGGGAATACAAACCGTGTAGCCACTGTGGAAGACAGTAGGGAGGTACCTCAGAAAGCTGAATACAGACCTGCCATGTGACCCAGCCATCCCTCTCCTGGGAATTTACCCAAGGGAGGTGAAATCAGCTTATGAAAGGGTGATCCCTACCCCACGTTCAGTGCAGCGCAATTCCCAGTATCTCTGAAAGCTCTTTACCCCTGGGCTCTGCCTCCGTGTCCCACTGGTCACGCCCTCTCCCAGTTCTTTTCCTCCTAGAAAGCAGTTCTGGGCTTTTCCCCCCTCACAGGGACCACCACCCCGTCTTCCTCCCCTCCCCTGATCTGTCATCGTCCTGGTCCCAGCTCTGTTGTTGTCACCTCCTCTCCTACCACACCTGGCGGTTCCTGATGGGCTAACCAGCCAGCTCCCAGGAGAGTTTCACAGCACTGACGTCTTCACAGGGGGTCTTCCTGGCCGTGGTCCTGGCCGTGGCACCCTTCATGCTGCCCGGGGCAGGCCCCAAGCTCTGGGACGTGAAGCCAAGAGGACAGGCTGGGGCACTGGCCCTGGGTACGCAGGTGCCCGAGAAAGGAGGGAAGAAGGAGGGTACGGGGTTGGCACCCAGCAGCCCCTGGATTCTAGTATTTACCTTGGCACAGGTGTGTGATGGGCTAGGGTGGAGGGGAAGGAGGGTGGGGGCCGGGTTTTTCCCAGACCCACAGGCTTAGGGTGGAATGTCAAAGGAGAACAGGAACAATGTCTAAAATCCCAGGAGCCACTGTGGCCCAAACAGCAGCAGCCGCAGGGCTTTCTCTAGCTTTCTGGGCTTTGACCAACAGCGTCCTGGGCTGTGGTGGAGGGAGCCCAACAGGGAGGATTTCAGAGCAGGTGTCAGTGCGGCCGGTGTTGCCAGGGGCCCCTTCACAGGAAGGGGCAGGGGGCTCTGCCCTGGGGCTTCCAGAACCTTCCAGGAAATCGACAGTGTTTCCTCCCAAAGATTTGTCATGTTTTGGCTCAGGACACGAAGGAT